ATATGCGTATCGGTACAGCCCCCACATATGCACAGCGCCAGCCCACACATATGCCCAGCGCCAGCCCACACATATGCCCAGCGCCAGCCCACACATATGCCCAGCGCCAGCCCACACAGACGCCTACTCATTGAAGATCTTCTCCATATCAGCTTTGTGCCCCACAGCCTTCACAGACGCTGTAAACAGCTTCGCCCGCAGCTGCGCTGAGTCGAGGTTGTCTGTGTGTGTCTCTGTATCGGTGCGTTGGAAGCCAAACGTCGAAGGGGTTCGGGAGGCGTGCTTCGATTGCCTAGCTGTGTGTGTATGTTGAGAAATGATTGGCATGAAAGAGTGTGATTGCTTGATCATTATATATAGTTGCTAGGCAACTAGAGTTTTCTGGGTGATGAGTGTGGTTGATAAGTGGTGTATGATGCACATAGGATACAGCTGAAGTAAGTTAGTCGGATTGAATACAAACATCCTCCGCACATAACATGACAGTAACAGCAACACGAGACAACAAAGACGATCATTGGCAAGTACAACAAGATCTGCTTATAATTTCCAAATCCAGAAATATCGACCTATTGAGCTAAACCCTAAAACAGAGACAAACCCCTGGTCGTGATAATCTGACCTCTCCACAGTCACACCTGAAGAGAATTGCTCGAAGCGTGAGCCACCAGCCGAGAACGAGCGGTGGATGTGACTGCCGTCACTGGCCGCTATCTCCAGATACGTGAGCGCCTGTTTCAGCCCCGACATCTCGGACTGAGGTGTTGAACCCGCTGATGTGTATGTGAGTGTGCATAAATGGTAAGGAGACTATATAGGTGTGCTTTTATACGAGCATATGTGTGTATATAGATAGTTTTGAGGGGTTTCGGGTTTAGGGTAATAGGGTTCAACCCTAGAAATAGATGGGTTTTGGGGTTTACAAAGTAGATGTGCATTGGCGTGTACGTGTGTATGTATAGCTAAAAATGAGGCGTTCCCCATATTCCTGTGGATACATCAATCAAGTTCATACAATGGCAAAATGTGAGTTCGATTAGAAATACGAGTTTCAGGCCGAAGAAGCTGGTACATACATGGCACTAACCAAAACATTTGTGTATCTGAGTGCTCGCAGTAGCGGTAAATTGCGCATAAATGGGCGAGGGTTAGTATCAAGACCTACGGACAATGTACTTTTCACCACCAGAGTCCTGTCGATCCGTGAGGAACATAGAGTGGTGGGCACAGGCAAAGTCGGTGCATAGCTCGCACTACATAAGTGTCCAATATATACAGCTTAACTCTACAATCACATATGTCCACATAGAGGCACATATTGGCCTAGACAGCCCCAAGGCCCCCGTTGTTAGCTAGGGGTTTATATTAAGTATTGCTAACTAAGTATAGCATATAAATACAACCATTGTATGCATGTACAGATACACTTGAGCGATGTTCTGCTTATACCTCAGGCTGGTCCTAGGCTGTAGTGAGGTGTTGTTCAATACATGCAGTTACTATGTATTCACAGAAACACGTATGTGCCATTCTGTTGTTGGTCTAGATAGACCTCAGACAACCGCTATATAGGAAAGGCTGGTGGTAGGTATTGTATATCATAGAAAGCACGCTTCTAGGATAACTGTACAATTACACAGAATACATACTGTTGTTGGCCCAGGATTACCCCAGGCTACCGTTGTATACAGGCGGTTCGTGGCAGGTGTTGTATATCATAAAAAGCACATCTCTAGGATAACTGTACAAATACACAGAACACATACGGTTGTTGGCCCAGGATGGCCCCAGGCTACCGTTGTATACAGACGGTTCGTGGTAGGTGTTGATGAACTTGGAGATGGGCATTTTGTCGACATCCAGGCGGCCCTCCTGTTGTGACAGCGACTCTAAGAATGAACACAAACAAATAAAACATTAAGGTGTGTAGATAAACAGTGGTTTAGGGTTTTAAATTGGGGCTAAGTGTTTAGGGTTTGATATATTGCGCGAGTTCAATACAACGAGGGAGAGACACAGAACATAGTTAGTTTACACGCACAGATCAACAAAACACATAAACGATGTATTCATACATACTGCGTATATACTTCTATAGGTAAATATACAGGGCAATCACCACCTCGACATCCATTCACATCTGTGAACAACCCCTTATCTATTCAATATACATTTATATACAATCTATACAATCTATACAATCTATACAATATACATATATATATATATATATATGTAGAAAACATATATATATATTTATATATTATATTATATATATATATATATATATATTTATATATATATATATATATACTACACACAT